GAGTCCCCCCAGGAGAATGCGGTGCAGAGACATGGCACCGCGTTGCGCGGTCCCTCCCCAGAAAAGCACGTTTGTCCCGTACACCCATCATTGCTGTGTATGGGGTTATCTGCCAGCTGCTTTCCTAAACGCAGTTTTAGTTTTGTTTCTTAATAGTTTCTTTGTCCGCTTGCTTATCACCTAGGACTATTCCTAAATTTATATCAGCATCTTGCGTTTTTTTCAACTCATGAGTTTCGGGTAAGTTACAGCATTTTACAGACAAAATGGAATAATCATAACCCTGAACAATGAAAAATATATGGGAAATTCTGCTTCTGTTGTTCTTGACTGTCCTATTGTTTTGTGAGAGAAATTGTCCTGTTCTACCTACTGAGACTTCACTTAGGCAGGTTTTAAAATAAGCCTATGTCCTGATTTTAGGGAGAACATCCATTAAATTTTTGATGTTGAATTAATAATTTTGATTAATTTTTCCATTCATATCAGCTTGTTAGCTACATCCAAAACGTGACATGAGAAGCTGGATTCTCTCTCAGTTTGTCATGCTGCTCATTGTCTGTGTGCCAGGTGTTTTACTTAGATGCCTGGTGCGTTACACCAGTCCTGAAGTACCTAGGTATAATCTGGAAGAAGTGGCCAGATGGGCAGGCTAACGCAGTGAAATTTTATTATCCGTGCTGCAGTCAGCAGCAACAGCTTCCACAATAACTTACCTGCCGAGGCTGATGGTGCAGGTGATGGTGATGAGCAGAAAGAGGCTATTTTTGGTGCTGCTGAACTGGTTAATTCTCCACAGCCTGTTCAGTTTCTGGCTGCCTTGCCAACCCAGGTGTTAACTACCCTGAAGGTTTTTGTCCTGTGGATGTGCCAAGCTGAAACCACTAATACCTGTTACACAGAGCATTAAACTGTCATAGCGGGATAGCTATTTTCACTTCTCCTTGCTTTAGATGGGTCTCATGAGCCACGGAGAGGTGAGATGCTTGCTACTGGCCTCATTTCCCATCTCTCTGTGCTCCCTTCGTAGTCAGAGAAGCTGGAAGGCTGCTTGTAAACTTGTGTGAGGGTCTGTCTATGGAGGGAAACGGCAGCAGCAGAAGGGGCTCAGCCTGCAAAGCCTGTGGGCTGCAACCCTTCTGTCAGTGTCCAGTCTTCAAAACTCAGGCTGTTTGCCACTGTGCGTCCCAGGGATGTTGTGTGCTGATGCGTGACTGGCTTGGAAGTAGGTTTCAGGTGTTTGCAGGGAGAGAATTTCAAGCTTTGTTCCCTGATGTTATTGTTTATAACTTTCTATTTTTGCAGCTCTCCAGCTGGTAAAAGCAATCTGTAGAATAACAGCAGAGCAAATAAAGTAGGGGGCTGGATATGATCAAAGGGGATTTGGATGTTAGAGCATGCATTCTTTTCTTCAGCATTTTGTTGCACTTCCCTTTGGTCTCTTTGTGTTTGTTAGATGGTTCAGATGGGTGACGAACCAGTGAGTGTGGGAAGAACTATTCCTTCAGCCAGGACTGAATCCCTCCCTTGCTCAATAGCATCACCTGTGTAATCAGCACTTTACCAGCTTTGGAGGTGGGACCATGCATGTTGCCTTGCAGTAGTATCTTTCCCTTTCTCTAACAGGGTTGCCCAGGACAGAGTGTTTGGTGCTTACAACTTTAAAAAATACAAACTAAGTGAGAAAGCACAGAGCCCCAGTGCGAGTTAGTGGTGTTTGCCCTGTTCTGTGCGGTAGGCACGCTGTATTTGACTTCACTACCCTGTTGCAGCAACTGAGATTTGCAAGAGCTAACGATGCATGTTGATAGCCCTTAGCCTGCTGCCATCTTCAGCTCCCTCAGCACAGCTTCTGGTTGCAGTAAAGCAAAGTAACTGATGAGAATTTGAGACAGTTTGTTAGCTAAAAACTGGGCTCAATAATGCACATGGTTAAAATAATCATGTGGGTACCTTAACAATGCCTACAACAAATAATTTGGTTTAAGTTCTCAATTTTTTTTTTTTTTTTTTAAAGTATTGTGCACAATAAGTGCAGTGTTGTGTTTAGCTACTGCTGGTTTTAAAAGGTTTTAATTTCTGTGTCACTCCACCTGAATTTCACATCATTAATACTTCAAATGTGCTTGTCAATACGTGGGTCTTGGTGATAATTCTGAGATGTTTGCTGCCAGATTTATGGGGCTGGAAAGGCTTTCTGCCTTTTGACTAGAAGTGGAGCATAAAACAAATAGGAAATGGTTCTTTCTGCTGGTGTGCAAGACTGAGTGGGGAAATTGCTCCCAAACTCAGTGTGCTCCTTAGGCAGTTTGTGGGAGGGAAACACCCTGAGGCCTCTATTGGTTCCTTTCATCTGTTCCATGGGGACTTAAATTCACCGCAGGGACTGGTGCTGGTTTGCAGCTGGACTAGGAAGAAGAGAGGATTTGATGACCTTTCAGCTTGCTTGAATTACCTTTGCAAACGGTGGCTGTATCAGAAGGGCTCTGAACCAGACAGCTGAAAGTACTGGAAAGGTAAGAGAAAAGTATTTTTATTTCCTTTGAGATTCCTATTGTTTGTTCTGAATGAAAAACCCAGCCAATTTTTCTCTGACTTCCTACAGCAGATGCCCTCAAAGGCTTTGAAAGCCTTACGCAAACATCAATAATTCTGTATTATGGGCATGTATTATTATTGCAAAATGTACAGTAGTATTTAATGTCACTCCCTTTTGAAGGGCTTAAGCTTTCCCAGGTTGTCTCCCCCAACCATATGAAACCACGTATCTGCTAAAGTAAATGGGAGTTTTGCCTTTGGTTTTAACGGAGCTAGGGTTTAACCTAGAAGGTAATTTTTTTAGAATGCTTGTTCCTAGTAATTTCCATTTTAGGCTCTGATTTCTGTGTGACAGTAGTTGTTTTAAAAGCCCTTCCTTTTGTCATGAGATCATGCTGGAATTTGGTCACACTTACATCTTATAACTACAACAAACACTTTTAGTAATTTTTCAATATTTTCTCATCCAAAAGCTCTTCCTTTGCCTTCTAGTGCACCTTTTCACAGACTCAATGGTGGAAGCCAGTAGAAGTTCTTTACCACATAAAATGAAATATATCGCTATTTCCACAATAAAAGTACTTTATTGATTATACTATTTGTAATAAAAATGTCATTCATTGGATAAGTAAAATCGATCAAATATGGGAGTTACAAAATTTTTGAGCTGTGCCCACAACAGAACAAAGATTTGCTTCAGGAAAGACTGACTTAAACTGGCAGCTAATTATTTAACAGACGGGAGCTAGGTCATTTGTTACAAAATACATATTTATACTAACTAGCAAATGTCCAAATACTGTTAAGGCTCTCTGCACTTTCTAATGAGTATGTAGGATTTTGCAAGCAATCTCTCATTCACATATGAACAGTTAATACACCTCGCTTATCAGACATTGCAGAAAAATTAGCATGAAGAAAAGGTAAATATAAGGATTAATCTAGAAGCACAGTATCTACCTGGCTGATTATAATTCTGTTTTTCTATTCATTATTTCAAATCATCCCAAACTTCTGTAGTGTTAGGTAAGGTTCATTCAGTCTGGAAGTAAAAAAAGGTAGATACTTGCAAAAGAAACAATCTTGCTAAATTAATGGTTCCATTTTTTTTGTTGGCAGTCATTGGTTGCATTAATTGCAACCATTAATTGCATAAAGATTACGTAATATTGAAAACAGAATGCTGGCTAGCTTATTACAGCAGTTGCATCGAGTGACTTCTATGACCAATACCAGAGAAAAGGAAGTCTGATGCAGAGCTTTCTAAAGCAGATGGGGTCTGGAATGGTAGAACAGTTTCACCACAGAAAATAAAGACAAATAATCCAACTGGCTAAACTAAATTATACTTATGGAGAGTCTGTAAAACTAGTAGTTTGTCTCAGCTGAATGCTTCACCGAGAAAAATACGTAAAGCAGAACGAAAATGAGCTAGACTTCTTAGCAACTGAGTAGTAGTAACATAATTTTGTGCCTGTTTTGACCCTCCCTTCATTTTTGTCAGGCTCCTAACAAAAAATGGTAGCCCCTATGACTAAGTTCTGCTCTTTGGTGTTACTGACTCGCGTCATTCTTTATTGCTAGAAGTGCTGCAAGATGTAAGGAGCGCGACTGTATTCCAACTTACTCAGAGATGAGCTGGTTTATCAACTTCTGTGCTGCTACATCTTCTTCTGTATCTGAGAACACAGCTCTGCCATGTGCCTCTGCAGATGC